TTAATTTTCTTGAATCTTCACTTGGTTTTTCTGGTCTGTAAGGGGAATGTTCCCAGTTTATTTGAAACAATGATATTTTGCTAACAAGATGAAGTCATATAAGCTACGATGGTTATGATATATATTGTTCTCTTTCATAAGGGTATGTGATGAGTGCCAACCAAGTACGCATCTTTCTATAGAATAGATGTAGTGATATCTTCTTTAGATGAAGAACTATGGTATAACGAAAATACTTTCGGCGTACCTTACTGTCATAGGACGCTATGGTGTACTCATATGAGGTTATGGCAAAATTTGATAACCTTCGAGGAATATTACCTTCCTCATCCTTCTTCTCTTCATTGAAGCTTTCCCTGAGGATATGGGAGTGCATCCCCAGATTATGCCATGGGAGTTTATGTATGTTTGGAAATTTTTCATGTATGTTTGGAAATTTATCTTTCCTTGTTTGCTAGTGCGCAATATATATACTTTCCTTCAAAGATCAGCACGCTTGTTCCTTTGTCTGGAACTAGGGTGTATGCTTTGTATGGTACTTGATAACCATAGTGGAGTAGCTGCAATAATTCATCAATGCATAACGCATATATTTTTCTTACCTTTCTATTTGGCATGCTTTGGGGTTTGATGTCGCTTAGATTGTACTTGATGTTGGCCAAAAGTATCGTGCTTTGGAGGAAATGTTAACCAAATAAGGCTTTACCTTCCTTTATTCCTGATTGCGCGCAGGAGGAATTTTTAACCTTTCCTTTGTTCCTGATTGCGCGTTGGAGGAATTTTCAACCAGTTAAGGCTTTACCTTCCTGTCAATTTCTTCATCACGATGAAGCTTGGAGGAATTTTTATTAGCTTCCTTTCATTATTGGAGGATCCCTTTGGGGGATCTTTTAGATTGGAGGATCCTTTTGGGAGATCCTTTAAATTGGAGGATCCTTTTGAGGGATCCTTTAAATTGGATGATCCTTTTGGGGGATCCTTTTGAGGAATCCTTTAAATTGGAGGATCCTTTTGAGGGATCCTTGAAATTTGAGGATCCTTTTGGGAGATCTTTGAGATTAGAGGATCCTTTTGGGAGATCCTTTATATTGGAAGATCCTTTTGAGGGATCCTTGAAATTGAAGGATCCTTTTGGGGGATCCTTGAGATTGGAGGATCCTTTTGGGGGATCCTTTTTAATTGGAGGATCCTTTTGGGGGATCCTTTTAATTAGAGGATCCTTTTGAGGGATGTTTTTTAATTGGAGGATCTTTTTAGGGGATCCTTTTGAGGGATTCTTGAAATTGGAGGATCCTTTTGGGGGATCCTCGAGATTGGAGGCTATCGCGCTTTTTGGTGTCACACCCTTATGTTAGGGCAAGTGTGATCATGTTTGATCCTGTCCACTTATTTGTGTGCGCGATGAATATAATAATTATGTATGCATGGGCGCAATATATATATCAATAATTTGGAAATCTGCAATCTTTATTTAATAATTTGGAAATCTGCAATCTGTAATCTTTATTTAACTGTAAAATATCTTAAGCTTATATGCGTTCCATGTGCGCGGGATGGTGAGGCCAGACAACATCTTAATGACATATGCACCTCTATCTGTTTTGTTTTGGATGCGATATGGACCTTCCCAATTCAAGGCCAGTTTACCTTGTCGCGTGTTGTTATTTCCAATGTCCGCTCTTCGTAAGACTAAGTCGCCTACGTTGAAGCTTCGTTTAAAAACTTTTAAGTTATAGCGCGCTGCAATTCTTTGCTTTAACGCTGCCTCCTTGACATGGGCAATTTCACGCATTTCACTAATTGCATCTAAGTTATGTAGTAATGCCTGGGAATTGCTTTCCTTACTTGTGTACATCCTTCTCTATGATGGTTCTCCAATTTCAACTGGAATCATGGCCTCACTGCCATAAACAATGCGGAACAGAGTTTCCCCCGTAGTTGAATGTGGGGTTGTTCTTTAACCCCATAACACAAAGTCCAACTGTTCAGGCCAATTTCCTTTAGCTGCTTCTAATCTTCTTTCCAAGCCCCGTTTTAAGACTCGGTTAACAACTTCTGCCAATCCATTTGTTTGCGGATGTTCCACAGATGTGTATCTGTGTTTGACATGCAAATCCTGAATTATTTGATTGAATTTTTTTTCCATGAACTGAGTGCCATTATCAGTTATAATAGTTTGAGGGACGCCAAATCGACTTATGATTTATCGATAAAAGAATCGGCGAACCTTACTGGCTGATATCGTGGCTAAGGCCTCTGCTTCGATCCATTTAGAAAAATAGTCTATTACTACTAGTAACCATTTTACCCCTCCTACTGCAATTGGGAATGGTCCCAATATATCCATGCCCCATTGGTAGAACGGCCAAGGGGATAATATTGAAGATAATTCCTATGGGGGAGCATGGTGCAAATCTGTGTGCTCTTGACATTTGACGCAATGTCGCACATGTTTCTTAGAATCTTCTTCCATGGTGGGCCAAAAATAGCCCGCTCGAAACAGCTTTCTAGATAAGGATTTACCTCCCATGTGATGTCTGCCAATCCCTCCATGAACTTCCGAGATTATATACTGAGCTTGTTGGGGATCCAGACATTTAAGCATTGGGGAAGAAAAACCTTTCTTATATAGCTGGTCATTGATGATAGTATAGAATGAAGCCTTGCGCGCTAGCTTCTTTGCTGCGCGAGGTTCTGGTGGTGTCTCTCCTTTATTCAAGCAGTTGTAAATTGGTGTCATCCATGTTTCTTTATCATCCGGCGGCATAGTATCATCCTCGATCATGGACTGCGCATTAGATGGATGAGCTTTTCGCTTAGTTACAGCCATTACGATGCTAGGATGGGGGACGCTTTGCTAGATGACTAATCTATTATTTCCTGGTCCCTTCGTGCTGGCTAATTTAGACAAAATATCGGCTCGTGAATTTTGTTCTCTAGGGATGTGCTCTATTTTGAAGCTTTGAAAATCTGTTAAAAGTAACCTCACCTTTTCGAGATACTTTATCATGAATGCTTCTTTTGCCTGGTAACTCCCTTGTACTTGTGAAACTACCAATTGCGAATCACTTTTAAGAATTATTTTTGTTGCCCCCAAGTCTTTTGCCATGGCGAGTCCTGCGAGGACTGCTTCATATTCAGCTTGGTTGTTTGAGGCTTTAAACCCAAAGTGGATGGAATGTTCTACCGTTATACCTTGAGGGCTAGAACAAGTGAATAACTTTACGTTATGTTATGCAGAAAAAACACTAACCCATAAAAATAAAAAACAAGTGAATAACAAAACAATAGAAAATGTCAGACCCTTCCTCTCTAACAAAATTCATCTAGAAATATACTTATGAAGTCCATTCCTACCAAAGGTCGATGATTTATTTTTTTTTTATCAAGAAAATTCAAAATTTAGAACCTCTAATGAATAACTCAAAGGATAACACTACTCCACCTCCAAGTTAATTTTGGAGCTAGCTAACTTGGTGACTTTAAATTATTTTTAAGTTGACATGAGTCCCAAATTCCCAATGTCTAGGATGTGTCGCCTTAAATTTTTTAAAAACATCACATTCACTTGATATTGAAACATCACAGTCCCTTAGGAATAAGAGTGCTTGTTACAAGTTGGCTATAATTTTCCTGATTTAAGAATATATTCATTTCTTTTTATTTTTAATAAATTACAGAATTCTTTCACCGGAAATGATTCTGTTCAAATCAAAAATATCCACGTCATGTTGAGATTAACTCTCTCTAAAGAAGATTTTCAGTTTAGTATTATGACTTCTACATTTGCATGCTATACATTAAGAAAAATGTATACCCAAATCTCACACTGAGAAAGCTTCTACAGCTTGTTGACCGAAATGATGATCCCCCACTAGTCCGACTAGCTAGTGAGCGGTTCTTTTGAGCCATTTACATTTCCCTTACTTTTTTTCTCCCACTTTATTTTTTTTTTTTTTTACTACATCAATTGCCAACATTTCTCATGCTTGCCTTACTCCTAATGATTTTTTACGTGCAAGAGTTTAAAATTTGATGGACTCCAAGCTTTTTTATCTGCAAAATTTGATTGAGTCCAGGCTAATAGAATTTTTTTTAGAATTAAAATATTTTTTGGGTTCTCAACAAATATTATGGGGCCCAATTTAATTCTTTAAGAAAAAAAAATGTCGACTCATGGTTCTTCTGAAATTAAAAATAGACCCATGTTAATACTTTTGAGGGACTAATGTGAATTTTTTTGAATTTAAGAGGAATCATAATTTTGACTAACTAGATCAATTTTGAATTTTAGAGAGACCACAAATCAATTTTAAAAAATAAAATAAAATGGCCATATAATTTTTGTTAAGAACCCAAACGCCAAAAGATGCTTTACTTTTTTTTTTTATTAAAAAAATGTTACATGAGACATGAAGGTGTTTTTTTTCCCTTGTTTAGTTTAGATATTAATTTAATTTTTGATGGTTAAAATTATCAATTGAAGTATTTTTATTGAGGTAGGATATTTCTACTACCTATTTTTTCTACTACCACTTTAATCACCATTGGATTCAAAAGTTATTTTTTTTTCTCTCTTCATTCAACTTTTCCTTTAATCAAATGGTGATTAGAGTGGTAGTGAAGTGGTAGTAGAAAAATAGGTAGTTAGAATATCCTAACTCTTTTTTATTAAGGATTAATATTTTTAAGGGTGTAAGAGATAATTTTAATTTCTATATATATATATATAAAAGTATATGAGGCTCATAGCTATGTGAAGAAAAAAAAAAAAAATGAATCCTACATATTATGTATGTACGTGGATGAAAAATTAATTTTTTTATTATTTTTAAAAAAAAATGGTGAAAAACATGTCTGTGAAGAAGTTGAGGGGGAAGAGGGATAAGGAAACTCTGCGAACACTAAGCCAAGGAACCATCTTTTTCTCTCTTCCACATGGCTACTTCTGTTAACAAGTTCTCTCTCTCTCTCTCTCTCTCTCTCTCTCACACACGCGCGCACACACACACACACACACAAACATGTATGAATTCATTCAATTCAAGTTCTGACTTGTGAATCTCTTGTTTTGAGCAGTGGTTTGGGATGGAAATCTTCCTCTTTGTTTGTACAATCCAATGGGTTCAAAGTAGTTTCGCCTCCTTTCAAACTAAAACCGCCACTCGCCAAGTTTTCTCTCACTTGCTCTGCCGCCTCCTCCTCTTCTTCTGGTACCCTTCAATTCCTCCTTCCAAAAAATTAATTTTTCAACGCAAATCAGCAACTGGGTTTCCCTGCATTTTTGTATTTTGTGTTAATTGTGCTTAATTTGTTGTTTTTTTTTTTTTTGGGTGTTATTTTGAAATGGAAAATGTAGTTGCTTTCTCTAATATGTGATAACATTTGTGGGCTCTTGACTGTGAAATTCCATTAATTTAGGTACTGCTTGTTAGGAGTTAGCACTGTTCATTATATATTTATATGATGCAAAGAAAGGGTAATTCAGATATCAAATGAGTTATTTAGTGATGGTTGAATTTGATTGAAGGAATGAAGGAAATAAAAAAGAAGAGAAAAGGAAAGAAAGAAAGTTTCTTTGAAGATAAAACTTCCATTTCTGCCTAGAATCCATTTAACTCAGTTTCATACATTTTCAAGTTCTTCAAAAGTGACTAATATTGTTCAAACAATCCCATTGAAGAGAATGTTGTGAGCATTTCTCTCCCTTCATTGTCCTCTCATTCTTTGTTGTCTTCTATGCAGACATGTCCCTGCAAACATACGGGCAAGAGAAATTGACTAGGATGATGTTTTTCCTTTTATTTTAATTTTATTCTATTCAGATCCACTCTTGGTTAAGGCTGCTAGGGGAGATCCTGTTGATCGTCCTCCGGCATGGATGATGCGTCAGGCAGGAAGATACATGGCTGTTTACAGAAAGCTTGCTGAGAAATATCCATCCTTCCGAGAGAGGTCAGAGACAACTGATCTCATTGTGGAAATTTCTTTGCAGCCTTGGAAAGCTTTCAGGCCTGATGGAGTAATTATTTTCTCTGATATCCTTACACCTCTACCTGCATTTGGAATTGAATTTGACATAGAAGACGTAAAGGGACCTGTTATACAGTCACCAATACGCTGCGAGGAGGGATTAAAGGCATTGCATCCAATTGACCTGGACAGGCTTAGATTTGTTGGAGAATCACTTAAGATGCTGCGTCAGGAGGTTAATTTAGTTGCATCACCTTGTTTATATCATGGCTATCCTTCTAAGTATTTTTCTCTTACTAATTCTTTTTTATTTAGGTTGGTGATCATGCTGCTGTTTTGGGTTTTGTGGGAGCACCATGGACAATAGCAACATATATAGTGGAAGGGGGCACGACACGGACATATACAACCATTAAGAGCATGTGTCATACAGCACCACATGTATTGAGGACCCTGCTTTCTCATTTGACGCAGGCGATAGCAGATTACATTATTTTCCAAGTGGAGTCTGGGGCTCACTGCATACAAATATTTGATTCATGGGGTGGACAACTACCACCAGATATGTGGGAACACTGGTCAAAGCCTTATATCAAAGAGGTAACTTCAGTTGACAGCTCAAACTTAGAAAAAAAAACTCTTCACTAATGTTATAAGAGCTCTAACTACTTTCTTTAGTTGAAGAAAGGAAAACAATATGTTGCTTGCCAAGCTTTGAAACAATTAACAGGTTTTATGTCTAGTTAATTGTAATACTGTTCCAAGCTTCCATGATTCTTCTTGGTTGGTTGACTTGGTAAAGATTATGATCGGTTAAAAATTTGTAATTGCAATTTTCCCAGGAAAAAAAAAAAAAAACTTGTAATTTGTCAGCCTTGATTAATAAATAAGCTCATTGGATGTTGATATTGTGCTTCTAACTTCAGGGGAGAAAAATTTAAATCAGATGCTACATCTTCACATTTTTATATTTCATTTAGATTAATATTGCTGTTAGTATCATTTCTTAATTTACAACACATAAAAAAATTAGCAATTCAAGGTTTGGTACTATTGTGCGATCTCCTCTTTTTTCCTTTTTGTGATGTTCTGCTTTCTGAACTTCCAGATTGTAAATTTGGTCAAGAAAAAATGCCCTGAGACACCAGTTGTTCTTTATATAAATGGAAATGGTGGCCTTCTTGAGCGTATGAAAGAAACTGGAGTTGATGTTATTGGGCTAGACTGGACGGTGGATATGGCAGATGGAAGAAGAAGATTGGGTAGTGGGATAGGTGTGCAGGGAAATGTGGACCCTGCCTACTTATTCTCCCCTCTTGCTGCCCTGACTGAAGAAATTCAGAGGTTGGTGGCATAATATCTCTGAACTTTGGTATTCTTGGAGTCATTCTACATCTTTTCTGTACATGATCCAGTGTCTAAGCTGTGGAAGTTGAATAAACCTCCCCTGCTATATGCTTAATTAACTGCAAAATTGAAAATAATGAAAGAGGTAAGGAAACTAGCTAAGAATCAGAGAAATGCTCTTTATAGAATTGTTAAGTTACTAATCTTTTAGTGTCAAAATTATGAATAGTTCAATCAGACTTGTTTGTCTTTGAGAGATAGGCCAAAGTTTTGTCTGACTCTATCTGAAGCTGATGTCACTGGATGTCATGTTACTAGTTTTGTATCCAATTGAACCCCCATAGTCATAAATGAGAATGGAGAAATGATTTGTATTGATGAATTATCTTGACTTAATATGATAATTATTTGTCAGGGTTGTGAGGTGTGCGGGACCTAGACGGCACATCCTTAATCTTGGGCATGGTGTTCTTGTTGGCACACCAGAAGAAGCTGTTGCACATTTCTTTGAAGTAGCAAGGAGCTTGAAGTTTGAGACACTTTTTCAAAATAACAGTGCTAAAGACCCTAAACTCGTAATTTAAGGACAAATGCCATGTTGCCACTTTTTTTACTTAGACTGGGAGTTCAAGCCCTCCTGTGGAAGAGTACAGGATTAGTCCCTTCTGATTTTTATACAGCTATGTGATTATCAAAGGTCCGAGGATTTGCACATTGCAGTGCCAGCTAACTGGTAAAACTAGATGATTAAGTTGTGATTTTACATTCTGCTGTATTTATAATTGAATTTGTTAAACCAATTAGAGGATTCCTTCCAATTGTTTTTTTGGTAAAATCTTTCCTTTTTATTATTGTTAAGGAGCTTTGGCTTGTCTGTTCAAAATGTAAAATTTGCCCCGTAACATGATCTCTGCATTTGCACATCTTATATACCTTGCGTTTCCAACATGCTTATAACTTGGTTGACATATATAAAATTCAAAACTTATCTAAATGTACCATACTAAACAATCATAGTGCTCTTGATTGGTTTCCAAAGAAATGGAACCTTGTTAGAAAAAAGAAGTGAAAAAGTATAATGTGCAATTTTATTTTGCTTTTCTTTTGAATTTAACTTGATGAAGGTACATTGAAGGGTGTGTCTAAGCACACAGGTGAAATGCTTCTGTATGTTTTTAGGGCCACATACTTTGTCACAGCAGCTGAACACTTGCGTTTCCACTTGAATGGTTGTGATATTGCTGTAGAGCCTGATTTAGAGTCTTGAGAGCCTTGTCATATGATATAAATCCCATGAAAAAGAACTCATAACCATCCACTGTAACAATCTGGATGTATTTTTCTGTGGGGTTCAATCTATTTGTGGAAGGACTGACAGTGCTCAACTGATCCAGCTGCACTTCGACCTAGATGTTAGACAAGGAAAATCAGTACTTGATACCAGAAAGTTCCATTAAATTCTGAGGGGTTGCAATTTGGAAAATCCAGAAGTATTATGGTCTCAGTGATAAAACTTAGGATAGCAGAAGCAGTTGTTTCACACTTGCTTAAAGAGGTAAAGCAGCACTTTTTATAAAGAAGTTTAAATGAGGTCTGATATACTATAAATTAATAAATAGAGCATGAGAAGTGTGAGTATCATTCCTCTAAAATCTATTCACTAAAATATGAACATAACATACAGAAAAAGCATTTCAGTAGATATAACCAGACTGCAGAGAGATCTAGTGCTGTTGCATGTATCTCTTTGATGTGTACTACACTTTAAGCTTATTTAAGTCAATTTTTTTTCATGAAAGGCATATAGTAAAAAGAGAATTACACTTCAATTATCATGAATGAAAGACAATACAATTATTTTGAGCCAGGTTCTGTTTTGTTTTGTTTTGTTTTTTTTGCCTTTGAATAGCTATATGGTTAAACCCCTGAAGACACTACCTTTTTTGGGTACGTACACTACCTTCTATTCTCCTCGGCTGTTACTGCATGGGCATGAAATCAACATCTTGGGACAATATGCCCATAAAGATCACAACTCATAACTCATCTTCACATACCAAATTTATTAGACGGCAATCATTTAGCTGATTCTGTATAATAGGAACTTAACCAAGAGTTGACAAGTAAGGAAATTAAGGCTCTGTTTGATTTCTGTTTTGCAAAATAGTTTTTTAGTTTTCAGAACAAAAAAATTAAAAAATTCGTTTGGTAAGACCTGTTTTGTAAAAAATGTTTTGAAAACTATAACTGTTTTTTTGTTTTTAAAATCAAATTTAGAGAACATGTCTGAGTTGTTTTTGTTTTCTGTTTTGGTTTTTAACTTTCAAAAAGAAAAACATATAAAAAAACAACTGTTTCCATAACTATTTTACAAAACAGTTTTAAGAACAAAAAAATCAGAACACAATCAAACAGACTCTAAGATTCCTTGATCATTCTTGGTCCTTATCTATCTGAAACTTTTCAAGTAAGTGATCTGAGAAAATTTCATCTTTCTTTCCCTCTCAGATTTGATCACTATAACATATAGTAAAAAGAAAAAAAATTCCAGTCACTGAATACTTGAATTGCTTGAAACCATAACGAGGCAGTGAGGTAAGGAAGTACCTTATAGTACATGCATTGATGCTGCAGGGAGAATGGATGATGACAAAGTGGATAGTCACTGCAAAATGCTAATCTTTTAGTCGATATATAAAGCGTTCCAATTACAGGTTCAGAGGTTGTTGATATGTAGCAAGCATATGGCCTTAAGAGCTTCTCTCCTGGAAAAATCCCATATGTCTGTTGAAATAGCTTATCAGGCCCTCCCTTTGAGAGCACCTTTGTTCCTTGAACAACTCTTGCCATTGCAGCATCAGCTGGACTAGAACTAGTTCTTACTGCACACAGTGTGTGGTACAAGAAATTCAAGTATTCAACTTTAGAAGATGGGAAACTCTTTGGGTTATTCTTATACTGATACTAGAATAAGAAGTTTCACATTCACTCTTGGTCATTGATCAGTGGTATCCAATGACTCAAATAACTAAAAAATTAAAGTATGTAGATAAAAATGGAATCAATGATCTAGATTAAAAATGTTATATATAAATCCCATTAGAACCTGATGTAAAGAGATATTACCAAAGAAAAATAAACTTTTTAACATTGGAAAGGAAAAAAACAAGAGGAAAACTCACGGTGATTCCATATGTTGTCAACCATGATCCCAGCTTGTCTAGTTGCTTCTCCAACCTTCCTGCTACAATGATTTAGTGCACCAGATATTGTATCGATTGCATTAGGACCTGAAATCATGGCAGGAACAGCTGTCAAAGAAGAAGAAATTTGATTGTGTTCTGATTTTTTTGTTCTTAAAACTGTTTTGTAAAATAGTTATGGAAACAGTTCTTTTCTGTATTTTCTTTATTTTGAAAGTTAAAAATCAAAACACAAAACAAAAACAACTTATATATGTTTTCTAAATTTGATTTTAAAACAAAAAAATCCAACCTTATCAAATGGATTTTTTTATTCTGAAAACCAAAAATTGTTTCTAAAAACAGTATTCAAACTGGTTTAGTTACAAAAACACAAACTCTTGGAAATCACTCACGGTTGGTTGCTGCAGAGGAAGGAGGAACAGGGGAAATGTGAACATAAGGGTTGTTGTTGTTGCTGCTGTTGCTATGGTTGTGCAAGCCTGTACTATTTGTTTTAACAGTAACAGGAATTTCTCTATAATCTTTCATTCCCTTGTGCAGAGGTAGAATAAAAAAGAGCTTGACACTAAGTGAGAACAAAGTAATTTAGAGGTTGAGTAATAGATCAATTCATCATGTTTACAAAGTTGGGGTTATGTTTTATTGCAGGGTCTGTGAGAATAATGTAAAAGCCTAAAAGAACTTATGTGAAAGTTTCTGTTTGACTTAATGAGTGTTGAAGGATGTCAACGCTTAAAAGAAACTCTAAAAAAAGCAAATATTTTAAGTGTATTTGAAAGGGTTCGTATATCAGTGGTTCCTTGTTTAGGAACTGGGAATCAAATACTTAGAGAAATGATGGTGTTAAATAGATTCAAGATAAAGGAACATAACGCCGAAAGAGAGATGCTGCAGCTGTAGAATATGATGCTAGAAAGCATGGTCTGAAAACAAATTGATAAAATATGTAGATTGTTGGGTTTAACAATGATCAAAAAGAAGTTTGCAGAATTTTTATAAAAAATAATGTGTGAACATACATTATTATAACAACCCATGAAGTGAAATTGCAAGAATCTAGACCAATTAATTATTGATGTTTGAGATTTATGTTCTTACTTTCATGGTGTAAGAGCCCGTTTGTTTGAGCTTCTAAAACAAGTAACTTTTATCTCTTCCTTATTTTAAAAGTACTTTTATAAAAGTTAAAGTTATTTATATTTTTATAAAAATATATTTAATTTTTTAAAAAAATATTTAACTTTTGACTTTTGCTTTTCTTAGAAGTTAAAATTTTTAGCTTCTGAAAAAGTTAATTTTTGACTTTTTTTGTGACTTATGCTTTTTTTAAAAGCAGACATCCAAACGAACTAAAAATGAGAAGTGCTCTTTTTCTTGAAAAAGCAACTTTTGAAGGATTTTAACTAAGGATTTCATATTACATGTCATACTTCTTAGTTCTTATTGTTTACATTTTACAACCAATCATTTCATATTTGTCATCACCCATTTAACTAAGGATTTTACTCTGATATTTTCGATTTTTTTTGTTTAGATCATCAACTTTTTTATTTTATTTTAAACTTTGTAAATTTTCAAATTATGAAATCTCGAGCGTTTTCATAGCATATCATTTAACTAATTAAGATGCAGATTGTCATGGGCTAAGTGCCCTCTATTTGTACCAAAAAGAAAAGAATAATAATATTAATAAGATGCATAATTGTGTACCAGTGAACCGGGGCACATTATGCTTTGAGTTATTATTGAAAAAAAAGTTATTATTTTTAGCTTTTCAAAAATATTAAAACAGATTGTTTTAGATTTTTTTTTTCAAAAAAATTATTTAATTTTAAGAAATAAATGTTCTAGCTTGTTTTCTTGTGCTTTTTTGCTTTTCGCATTTCATCTCAAAATTGATCATCCGGTCATTTAAAAATTCATTAATTAAATGTCCCTTTCTTCTTCCCAACAGAAGAATTTTTTAAAATATATATGCAACGTATACATTTATCTCCTTTCTCTTCTTTTTTTGTCGTTTTAGAAAAGAATCAATACTCCTATAAAAAAAAAAATCAATAATAATCATACTTCATGAGTGTGCTTTCTTGGGCTTTTTGACCCTTTTGCCCCTAATTAATAACCAATTTGCCCCTGATCAAGAACTATCCACCAACCTGCCCCCTTTTAGTCGACTACCTTGCTGTTTTAGTCGAGCAAATGGTCAATCTTCAGAAAGTGGACTACCGCAAATTTAGTCGACTAAAAAATCATCTTAATCGACTACATTTTTGGGATATTTAGTCGATTAAGTAACAATATTTAGTCGACTAAATATCGACGGATTTGTTTTTTAAAACCCCCCCATTCGGCAGAGGGGGAGTAGGATGACCTAATCGACTAAGGAGGCGGCCCAAACCCCAAATCCGCAGGAGCAGCTGAAGAACGCCCCAAACCCTTCCCTTAGGCGTGTGGATTGCCCCCAAATTTGGTCCAAATCGTGAAATCTGAAGGATAGGTAAGGTTTCTTAACTTGCATTGTGTTTTAGGTTTAGGAATTTTTTGTATTTGTTTGTTGTCCGAATTTGTGAACTCTAATCAAAGCGTTTGTTGTAGGTTTTGTAACCCTAATCTACTAAGGTTTATTTTTTTGCATTGTGTGAATTTTTTTGTTTGAAAAGTTTGTATGTGGCAAAAGTTTGCTTTTGGTTTACAGCGCTTATGTTGCAAGTTTTCATTACCATCATGACATGTTTCATATAGTTAAATGCTGACATGTTTCATTGTAGGTACCCTAAACAAATGACGAGCCGCAGAAGACTAAGCGATGAGGGCAATGAGTCACTTGAGAGACGCACCAAGCATAGGCAAGAACGGCCTTCTTCGTCAAGGCGACAAGACGAAGAGCCTGATACTGTTGACCTCCCGTATGGGTATCTGTTTGAGGACGACCCTGCCGTCCACGCTTCATTCGTACGTGACCATTTGAAACGGCCGTTATGTGCTCCAAAATCTTTGGATACAGCCTTTTTTGATAAGGAGGGATTTGAAATTGTGGGGGTGTTGGAGGCGGCACATCTGAGGGTGTTGGCCGAGACCCTATGTCCGTATTCAGAGCTTTTTTGATAATGCCACCGTCAATACCATTCATAACAAAAAAAATAATTGCTAAATTAAATCTTTAAAAAACAAATCTTACCACTGCTAACAGGGTCAACACGAAGTGGTCTCATAACCTGCGAACCCGGGGATGGTGAGCTTGTGTCAGCGTCGAAATCACCTTCTACGTCAGTATCTGACGTGTCACCTAGCGGAATAACACTCTCAGGTTCACCGTCCTCATCGCTGTCCATATCGGCATCCTGTTCATCCTCATCTATTTCCCGCAGTGTTATCTGACTTATGACATGTGCAGGTGCAGATAAATCGACTACTCTTTCTTCATGACCAAAATACGGTTCACTTCTTGTATGCATGGGTGCAGATGAAGATTGACCACAATCTAATTCAACATATATCTCAATAAAATTTTGAAATTTTCGGTCAACAATTGCATCTATGACACATTCGACATCTTCATCATCACATATATCGTTACCAATGTAGTAAATAGCATCCTTACCAACTGTTGTCTCTACCCTGGCAATCATCCGTTGAACGCATTGGCTGCCTTGCAGACCCAATTTTTGCTGAATTCTCTCCTTTAACTCATTGTATGTAGTGCCCCGTTTGATTTTCAACATTTTCGTTTTTCCTTCAAATTGAACACCATTGGGGCCTTCATAATGCTTTCCATCATAGTAGATCATTGTCACATACATGTTTGGACTTGTGCTCATCTTCCTCACGAAATTGGGACTTGGGTTCTGAAATTGGGGGTTTGGGTTCGGATTTTGGGGTTTGAAATTGGGCAATGACAATGATTTCACAATATTAGGTCTGTAGAGATGGTGGGATGAAATACAATCGGATTGAGAGGATTACACATGAACAAAGGGAGCTATTTAGGTTTACACAACAACAACAATCGAAATGAGACCGAAAACATGGAAAATATAGGGTTTCAGTCGACATTTAGTCGACTAAATATCGTTACTTAGTCGACTAAATATCCCAAAAATGTAGTCGATTAAGATGATTTTTTAGTCGACTAAATTTGCGGTAGTCCACTTTCTGAAGATTGACCATTTGCTCGACTAAAACAGCAAGGTAGTCGACTAAAAGGGGGCAGATTGGTGGATAGTTCTTGATCAGGGGCAAATTGGTTATTAATTAATTAATGAGGGGCAAAAGGGTCAAAAAGCCTGCTTTCTTGAGTGGGTAGAAAATAATAAAAACTATTGTAAATAATAAATTTTATTGTAATTGAAATGGAATACATTTTATTTTAACATCATGATCGATCAAGTAAAGTTATTTTCTCATTGTGAACTTTATACCTTAGTTTTGGTTAAAATATATTTTTGTCTACGTACGTAATATATATATATATATATATATATATATTTTAATACATTGAAGTAAAGACAAAAAGCAAAGAAGAAGAAGAAAACATATAAAAGATAAAACAGGAAAGCTTCTAGCGAGTCTGTGAACGCCTAACAAAAATCACACCTCTTCTGTCAGCCTGAAGATGAAACCATAGTCGGGGGGTTCAGAAAAGTGAGTCTCATCAGGTAACTCCAGGTGCACCAATAGATAGTTTTCCAACCAATCTCCGCATTGGTTGTCCTCCCTTAGAACATGCATAAATCGAACATTCCATTGGCGCCTAACAAATGCTCGTATTTGAGTCACTAGGTGTGTCTCATGAGCTTCATTGCCTTCCTTAGAAGACAATGCAATGACTATTTGACAGTCACTTTCAACAAAACATTTCTCCAACTTGCCTCCAAAGCTAACTCCAACCTTTTTAACACACCCCACAGTTCCGCTTGTAAAGCAGCACAATGACCAATTCTTGCAGTAAACCCATTCAGCAAAACTCCCCTATGGTCTTGAAGAAGCCGTCCACAAGTTGCTTCAGTCGTTTGACCCTTTGATGCTCCATCTATATTTAACTTAACATACAGAGTCACAGGAGGCAGCCAACTAACCTCTCTAGAGAAATGGAGTTGCAGTCTTGGCTTTGTGTCTATAAAGTCAAGTTGAATCGCCTTCAGGTAGTCAAGGATTGGCCGAGCAAGGTGACGATCCCCATTGGGAGAGCTATCGTGGGCCACTTCATTTCTCCAGTGCCAAATATACTAGCAACAAACAATATATAATGAGCTCCAAACAAACCCTCCCACATCCATGACATCACAACTCAAATTATCAATCACTTAATCATCCCAATTGGCATAAAAAATTGAGCTAGTCTATCATATGGAAAGAGACCGTACCAGATATCACAGATCACTGGGCAATCTCGAAAAATATGCAGCAAAGATTCTCTCCCCTGCTGACAGATCAGGCAAAGAGGATCCGCGATGGACCATGAACTGATCCAGTATTTTGTAGGCAAACTTTTGAACAGTAATCTCTAGAAAAATATTTGAATCCGTTGAGGCCCTTTCCATTTCCACAGCTTGTTCCAAACCTCCTTAGAGAAATTGCTATGCTGAAAAGATTGTTTTGCTAGTAATAGATAGCAATTACTGACCTATACTACTGCCGTACCACCCAGTAACCAGAAGCTTCTATCCGGGCCATCATGCGAATCAGGAGGGAGTATACTTCTGATCTTTTCAATCACCTCTGGATCAAAATATTGTATTAGCATATTGTAGTTCCACTTACCATACTGTCCAACCACTTGATTGAGGCGGCAGTCCCTGAAATCTTCAGGTATACTGCTTCGAACATGGTCCAAAAGGCAAATAGAAGAGTCGACCCACTTGTCCTTCCAAAAGGTGATTGTCTCTTGTCTCCAATTTCCCAAACTATGCTATCTTGCATATTGAGCATAATATTGTAGATTGCCTTCCAGAAAGGAGAGATCCAGCCTTAGGGATTGGCATTTGATCAACCTGCATCTTTTATTTGCCATGCAGCACACAAGAACAAAGAGAATTAGCTTCATTTCGAAAACGCCAAGCACATTTCTTTAGAAAATAATCATTCATCAAAGCTGTTTTCCTCAGGCCAAGACCACCCATCTCCTTCGGGCTAGTCAATATATCCCAGCCCACTGCATGGTATGACCTATTCTGATTAGTATCCCCTCAGATAAAATTGCGTTGGATTCGGTCTATCTCATTGCATACTCCTTGTGGAAATCTCGCATACTGCATATGGAAATAAGGGATGGAAGACAAAACTGACTTCACCAAAGTTACTCTCCCCGCCTAAGATAGACATCTTTGCTGCCAGCTGCCCAATTTACTACGGACTTTTTCCACAATATATTGGTAATGTTGTTTCGTGACCCTACCACGCACCATCCAAGCGCCTAAATATCACCCTATATTTTGAACCTTTTTGAAACCACTTTTAACTGTCAACGAAGATGCCAACTCCTCAAGGGTATTAGGTGAAAAATAAATACTCATTTTCGCAATGCTCAACCTCAAACCTAAAGTATCTTCAAACAAAGAGAGACATTTTAGAACAATATCCATCTTATCTTCCCTCGCCTCAGCAAATAACAATAGAGGATCACCTTACTTTACACCACGAGAAGGTTTAAATGGATCTATCTTCCCTCCGTTCCAAAGAATATTTATGGTCAAGAAAGATATAACCTCCATTATTAAATCAATCAGCTGAACCGGCAAGCCTACTTCAGGTAAGACATTTTTCAGAAAATTCCAGTTCAGTATGCTGTAAGCCTTTTCCAAATCAACTTTGATAGCCATAATTTTTTCCCTTTTATTCTACGCATACTGTGTACCAGCTCTTGTGCAGTAATTATATTATCATGAATCTACCTATTAGGAACAAAACTAGTTTGATATGGAGAAATTACCTTTTCCATAATGGGTTGCAGGCGTGTGACAATGGTTTTAGAGACCAACTTGTACATGACAGAACATAGATACATTGGAAGAAACTAGGACATTGAAATGGCTACCTAGACTTTAGTAATTAACACCAAGAAGGTAGAGTTCAAATGCCGGATATGCGCTGGATTTTTCCATACATCCGCTGTTAGTCTCATAATTTGGTCTCATAGAAGGTTCCACTTTCTTTGGAAGAAAACTGCTAGAAATCCATCTAGACCTGGGGAGTTATAGCTTCCCATATTAAATAAACATTGACGAAGCTCCATGCAAGATGGAATTTCGTATAGACCATCAAGAAGCTCTCATGGGATAACCGGCCACTGGGATGTGAACCATCTGCGAGTGGGGATATCCTCCATAAATAGCTTATTCAAAAAATTGCATGCCATAACTTTCAGCTGTTGTTCATCTTGAATCCATATATCCATGTCATCTTGAAGCCTAACAATCTTATTGATCCTGCGGCGAGAGATTTTTATTAAGTGATAGAACTTGGTGTTGCGATTCTTATATGTTATCCACTTATGACAGGATTTTTGAAACTAGAGCATCTCCTCCATTTCTAAAATATCAATTATTTGTTAATGGCACATATCTTCTTTAGCTTCAAAGATGAGTTGACGAAAAAGATCAAAGAGACGCAAGTGCAGAGAGAGTGCCTTGACTATGTGAAGAATCAGGACGACGTGTCTCGGAACAAAGATGGTTTGTTGATGTTCCAGAAGAGGATTGTGATTCCTCGAGGTCCTCTGACAGAGGAGGTGATGACAGAGGCTCATAAGGGCTAGTTTACTGTCCACCCTGGTGCTACAAAGATGTATCAAGACTTGAAGAGAAACTTCTGGTGGCCGGGCATGAAGAAAGACATAGTTGTTTTTGTGTCCAAGTGTTTGATATGCCAGAAAGTGAAGATAGAACACCAGAAACCGTCTGGTAAGCTTCAACCTCTTGAGGTACCACAATGGAAGTGGGAAAGCATTTCCATGAACTTTGTGGTGGGATTGCCTAAGACTCAGGCTGGTTGTGACTCTATCTGAGTCATCATGGAAAGATTGACAAAATCTGCCCATTTTCTTCTGGTAAGGGCGAGCTTCTCTACTGAGCAGTTGGCCATACTTTATGTTCGCGAGATTGTAAGGCTTCACGGGTTTCCTGGGAGTATCATCTGTGATAGAGACCCGAAGTTCACATCTCGGTTCTGGGAGGCGCTGCAGGGAGCTTTTGGTACTCAGTTGAGATTGAGTACAACCTATCACCCTCAGACTGACAGGCAGACTGAGCGGACCATCCAGACCTTGAAGGACATATTGAGGGCTTGCACTTTGGAGCAGGGTTCAGCATGGGATAGGTACCTGTCATTGGTTGAGTTTTCTTCAACAACAGTTTCCATGCTAGCCTAGGCATGGCAGCCTACGAGGCGTTGTATGGTAGGAGGTGTCGGACTCCTACCTGTTAGTATGAGGTTGGAGATAAGGAGTCATTTGGCTTGGATTTCGTCCAAGATACCACCCAGCAGATCCAGACAATCAGAGAGAAGCTGAAGCAGGCGCAGAATCGCCAGAAGAGCTACTACGACGTCAAGCATCGACCATTGGAGTTCGGTGAGGGTGAGCACGTGTTTGTGAGACTTTCACCTGTCACCGGTGTTGGTCGGGCACTCGGAGTGAGGAGCTTAGCCCGAGATTCATAGAGCCATACCAGATACTTGATAGAGTAGGACATGTTGCCTACCGGCTTGCATTGCCTCTGAACTTGGCCAACATCCTCGACGTGTTTCACGTGTCTCAACTTCGGAAGTATATTGCGGATCCATCGCACGTGGTGCAACCTGATGATGTGGAGGTTCGGGAGAACCTAAAGACTCCCGTCGGACCACTCAAGATTCTCGATCGTGGCGAGAAGAAGCTAAGGAGCAAGATCATTCCTATGGTCAAAGTGCAGTGGACAGGAAGAACTCCTAAGGAGTGTACTTGGGAGCGTGAGGTCAAGCTTCTCCGACAATACCCTGAGTTTCGGGACATGTATGTTTCTGATTTTGCGGACAAAATCCTCAAAGATGGGGTGAATGTAAGAACCTGCATCGCTAATTTAGGAATTTAATTAATTAATTATGAGAGTAATGAGATAATTCTATAATTGACCCTAATAATTATGAGAAGACTTAAATAATTATAGTAAGTGATTGTTAATGTTGAAAGTCGCTTTTCTGACGAAAAGTGCAGATACCGGTTGTGTCTTACGATACAAATGCGTACCGATGAAGTATCCCAGAAAATTATGAAAAGTTTGTATATATTACTAGAATAATATATAGGACTAGTATAACAAGTTTGGAGTCAAAATAATGAGAACTGGCGTCAGAACTGATACTGGCTACGTAAAAGCGCGTACCGACAAAGTGCTGCTAAAAAATAAATTAAAAATATGACAAATCCTAGAAAAATGGCTAGGTTCAGAATCTAAAGTTTGGAATTAAAATGCTAAGCGTAGCTATTAGTGCTAATACAGTGTGTTTAAGACTTAATGGGACTATAAATACTAGAAGCACAGATTTCTAAGTCATTTTGCTGAGTGCTACGTAGAGCTCTTTGGGTGCTTTGGCCGTCACCTTCTTCCCTTGCCCTCCTTGCATAAAAAGCCTCCCAAGTCACCTCTTTTTTATTGATTCCTCCATTCTAAACATTGCAAACACATAGTTGAGTGATTGGTGAGAGTGGAGTCAGCCATTTTCTGAGTTTTGGTCCCTGTTTAGTGGTGGTAGGAGGGCTGACTTCTTGGTTGGTGAAGAGGGAGCCACTTTCTTGGTAGTTGATGCTCCAAGAAGCAACCTTTGTGAAGAAAGGAACCATCTCGAAGCTCATTTTCGTGGATCCTTGAAGTCAGAACCTTGGGACTGACTTATGAACTCCAAGAGCAATTGTAGTTCTGTTTTGAGAGCCTTGGGTATGTTCTTGGACCTTGATCACGACTTTCTCTTATAAAATTTGAGTCTTGGCATCTAAAATGGTAGGATTAAGTAGTTAAGATGATCACTGGTCGAAATGGGCTAAAATATGCATGCTCTAACGTATCTAAGTGTTAAAAGAGGATCCTTTTAGTGATATCTTCGCGAAATGCAGAAATTGCATTCTGTCGCGAAATATCCTGATATGAGGTTGGAGATATCCGGATATTGATATCGGGATATGGGGTTGGAGATATCCGGATATGGATATCCAGATATGATATCCGAATATGGATATTCAGATATGGCCCCGACAAATATCCGGATATTCTGGGAATTTCGAGAGTGTCACTGTTCCATTCGGACAGAATGGTATTTTTGGGTTTGTGGACCCATGATTGGTTATGTTGAACCTCTGTAATAATTAACTAAGTCAGAATCAAAGGGATTAAGGGCTTATGGTTTTGTGAGAAGCCTAAAGATATGAAACGAAGAAGAAAACGTTGTTGTTATGTCTTGAACTATTGGATGATGAATGTTGATATGATTGCTGGTCTAAAACAGATTGTAATTATGCTGTTTGTGGAACTTGAGCTAGTGTGGACTTTGGCTTGGATTGATTGCTTAAGAGGTAAGCTTTCGTGTCCTCGATTTAGCCATTGTTGGTTCCACCATACCACATGGGGGAACAATTTATATGCATGATGTGTTTTCATGTATTGATATTTAAAATACTGTTGAGCTGTTATGTGCAAGTGCCTTATGATATGCATGTGTTGTTCCACCTAGACAGTAAGCCTGGGTATGTTACGTTATACGATATGGTGATTCTGTAGGTGGGTGCAAGTGGTGTCTTGCACTGATTGTAGGTAATAGACGTATGTAAATCTTGCATTTCTCTGGCCAGTAGGATATTTTGACACACATGATAAGATTATTCTGCTGCATTGCACTGATTTTGGAACTTATATTGTTTTACTGCTTTTAGAACTTATATTGCACATGTAAGT